GATTATTAGTTCCTTTGACAAAAGGAGACTGTTGTGTGTGGTTGGAATGACCTCTTCCTGTAGTGAGTAGAAAATAATAGTAGAACATTCCTTAGTATTGTCTCTGAGTGGGGATTAATTATGGAAAGCATTTGGGATTGTAAATAGGATAATTGTCTGTTTTTTTTTAAAACACCTTACTAAGTTACTTCCTCTTTTGATCTAGTGATAGATACAGCGATACCAGCAGCGATGACAGCTTTTCCGAAACAAGGATAGCTGAGTTGGAAATGAGCTGAAACTAATCCATGACTTGGAGTGAAAGGGATGGCCTGAGATGGTAAGAAGGACTCTTTAAGTTCTTGTTTGTGTTACAGACAAGCTGTCATCTTGGTGTAGAAGGGAACACTACACTTTTCTGCAGGATCCTGCTTACTTGACTGGCAGATGTAGATGGACACACTTGACAGCCGACCATGCCTTTGGGAAGCGGGAATGCACCTGAGGAAGCTGGCAGTTAGCAGTTAGCGTGGAGAGAATGGAATGCACTTGAGACCAGAAACAAATATATAAGTGCACCTATAAAAGTATACCTGGAGGCTGAAGTGATTAGAGTTCTAATAGTTTAGGTCAGGGATCCGCAAACTTTCTCTGTAAAGGGCCAGAGAGTAAATATGTTAGGCTTTGCAGGCCATGCAGTCGCTGTCACATATACTCCACTCGACCATTTTAGGGGAAAAGCAACCGCCGACAATACATTAACTGAATGGGCATGGCAGCGTCCCAGTAAAACTCTCTTTATAAAAATAGTTTGCTGGCCTCTGGCCTAAGTCGTTCACGGAAAAGCAGATTTCTTTGGATTTGTATAAAATAAAATAGTATTTGATTTCTTTGTAGGGAGATGCCAGAGACTGGCTTGGTTTCCGAGGGCAGCTTACTTTCCCTGTGGCTCTATTAGGCTTTATTAGAGAGGCTGGCAGCCTGGCTAGCTTTATCACATTCCAGCTCAGAGGTTGTAGCGCCTGGGATTACCCTGGGGTTGTGGCAGGCCTTGAAGTGGATGAGCTGCTCTTTTCAGCGGGGACAGCAGCTTTGGGAAAATTGGTAAAGAGCACACTGCTCCACTGTGAGCTGTGCTTGTATTTCACTTAGGGGCTGAATATTCATGTTCACCAGGGAAAGTGTGTCCATATTTATTTAGGTTTGCTTCAAACATGGATGTCTTTAGAAGCAAACAAAAATGACTCAAAGATTAGCTGGAGGTATTTTAAAGACTTATTCAAGTACTGATGTTACTAATACTTACATTCTGGATTTTGTTTGTTTGTTTTTTTTGTTTTGTTTTTAAGATTCTGAAGTAATTGAAGCCAAGATGAAAGAACTATCTGAAGAAAGCACCACACTCATAAAGAATCACTCTGTTCTCCACCAACATGGGCTGTCAGGCCTCAAAGGGAATCTAATACTATGTACTCTCATGAAGCAGAACCTTTTTCCTCCAGAGGCAGCCTTTGGTTCTCACAAATTTCTGTAGCTGATTAAACCTTTGCCAACAGCCTCACTGGGGAGAAAGTGTGTTCATGTTTTGTGTGGTGTATTGTGATGCCTAGGTGTTGAGCAAGAATCCTGGTAACTGAGCCTTCATCATGCTGTGTGGGAGGGGTGGCAGGGCACATGCGAAAACTAATTTTGAGTTAAAAATGAGTCCTTCTGTTATCTGGAACTCAACCACAGATTTGGGTGTGGCCCAAGTTTATTTGAATTTCTCACAGTTTATTTCTAGTTAAAAGGAAATTTAAACAGGTCCAAGACTGGGAGTGGCATGTAAGGCTCTTTCTTAGGCACAGAATTTAAGGGGGCATAAAAAAAACAACTCAGGAATCAAGATCAGTGATATATATATTTTTTAATTGAGGTGAAATCCACATAACATAGAATTAACCAGTTTAAAGTGAACAATTCAGTGGCATTGGGTACATTCACAATGTTGTGCAACCCCACCTTTTTTCTATTTTTGAAACATCTCCCAGATTCCAAAATAAATGCCCATATCCATTATCGGTCACTGCCCATTCCTACCTCCCAGCCCCTGGCAACTGCTAATTTCCTTTCTGTTTCTATGATTTGCCTGTTCTGGATATTTCATATAAGTGGAATCATACAATATGTGTTTTTTGTGCCTGGCTTCTTTCATTTAATATCGTGGTTTCAAGGGTCATCCTTGTTGTAGCATATGTCAGCACTTCATTTCTTTTTATGGTTGAATAAAGTTCCATTTTATGTATCTACCACAATTTGTTTATTCATCTGTTGATGGACATTTGGGTTGTTTTCACCTTTGTGTTGTTACAAATAGCGCTGTTATGAACATTCACGGGCAAATATTTGTTTAATACCTGTTTTTAATTCTTTTGGGTTTGTTGATGAAAAACTTCCAGCCCACAAGAAAGCTTATAAGAGCTTACTTGAGCTAAACTGACGACAATTGCCGGGAAGCAAAATCTCAACGGATTGAGAAAATGCTCCGTGAAATGGCGGTTTGCAGCTTATTTTATACATAAAATCAAAGGAGTAAGGTTACATGAAATCCATTGGTTGTAGATTAAGGGGGTGGGAGAAAGCAAAGCAGGGGGGGGGGCGGTGAATCCCTGGGATTGGATAAAAGTACATTGGAGAGACAGGTACTTCCTTTACATAGGTGGGTGCAGGATTGCTAACAGTTGCTTTTTACAGCATATAGAGATGGTAATCAGGAGACAAGCATGATAATGAGGAATTTGCAATTTCCACCTCTGGTCCGGAAAAAGGATTACAGACATTCCTAAGATGTCATCTTAGGTGCAGAAAAACAGAGAGGCCCACTGAAAGGCACAGATTAACTTTATAAAGGAAGCGAAAGGTGTGACTTCCCACCATGGCCCACTTGGTTATGAAATTTCTTCATGCTCATGCCATTTTATGTGGTTATTTTCAATCTCCTGAGCTTGTCAGGTTTAACCTGTGGCCCCATTTCCGTCCACAGGTTCATACCTAGGAATGGAATTGCTGGGTTTTATGGTAATTCTGTTTAACTTTTTGAGGAAGCATCAGTAATATTTTAATGCAGATTTAAAAAAAAATAAATGATGAATTAAAATTTTTCACAATGAACAAAGTATCACATTTTAAAATGAAGACAGGATCCAGCCCTGCACCCGCCTCACCTCCTCCAGTCCTGGCCCTGTTATACATTTTCAGCCACTATACTTCCTGATTTTCCCTGTGGAATGTGCTCCAGTGAACTTAGCTGTTGCTGGCATTTGAGCTTCCTGATGCTAATTCAGATATTTTAACTGCTCAGTTAATTTTTGGAGTTGTTTTTGGCCTTTTAACTTTTTTTCTCTTAATGCTGTAAGGTGTTACAGCATTATTTTGTAAGATACTGCAGACAATTCACCTACTAAACACATGCAGAAATGAAATGAATAATCCTGGTAAACAAAAATATTAAGGAGCTGCAGGACTCCATTTGTGAAAATTACAAGTTGAAGATCACAAGAGGTTCCAAATGAAAAGCCCACAGGTCGGGTGAAAACTAAAATGGGCCTCATAGAGAGAGGGCTGTAAGCACAGAGGGCATAGTTAATATAACAAAGGGGTAGTCTGGCTGAAATGGAAGTTTTTAATTGTAATGATTATGATTTCTAAAGTCACTTACAACAGAGTGCTTTCCCTGCTGGGCTAATGATGCATGTAAATAGCACAGGAAGGAAGGGCACTTAAAAACAATAAGCCAGCCTCCTTGTTGCTACATAAGATTTTCTCTTTGGGAGATACCCTTGAACTTGGAATCCAGAAGCCACAGAATGGTAGTAGTATGACTGCTTAGGATAGTAGAGCAGCTGTGGGACATGAACACATCGAAACTTATCATAAATCATTAATTCAACAAATGTATCTTGAGCCCCCTGCATGAGCCAAGCACGGTGTCAGGTGCTGGGGAAAGTGTAGGGGAGCAAAATTTGTCCCCAAAATATTGGGTTGTCGGAAAAGTCATGACGTATTTTGTCTATGTTTTTCAAAGGTCATTTATTTATATAAAGAACAAAGATCAGTCAATGATATATTGCCCGTTTTGTTCAATAACCTTTTGCCATCTTTCAGTGAGCTTCATAATTCCTCGTTCATAGAAGGACCTGTCTTTATTTGTGAAAAACTGAACAAGGTGCTGATTTACAGCCTCATCTGAATTTCTGAATTGAACATTATACCACGCAAGGAGGTTGTTGTTTTTTTTTTAGCTTAACCTCCATTTACTTTCTCTTAATGATAACCACTTCATTACAAAAGTAGTCTTAATTTTTCTACTGTGTTTTAAAAGAATATTCAAATTGAATTCGTATGGAGTAGATATACAACAATATATAAAAACAAAACGTAAGTGACTCAATTTTGATATTTTGATGTGAAAGTATTCAACTTAAAATAATTTTAGAGATATAAAATCTGAAAAAAAATCTGAAAATTTATTTCCTTAATTTTAAGAATATTTGTGTTCAATGATCAGTAACAAATACACTATATTTCAAGTAGCATAAGTTGTATATATTTTTTTAAAAAGTAGACTACCCAGCGTTGAAAATAGTGTTACTATTAACAGTCATGGCCTTTGTGTTACAGGATTTGGGCCTGTTAAGTATACCACAGCCTTCAGGTGAGGTAGTTGGGGGGCCATGAATGCCCCCGGGCCAGGTCTCCTTCAATATGAACCTGGACCAGCTGTCACCTCTTCTAGAACAGCTCACAACTTTCACTGTGAAGATAAACTTTAATATTACCATCTGATTAGACAGCAAATTTCCCCCTAATCATTTGCACAGAAAAGTAGAACTCAAATTGTCTTTAATGTCAAATGGAATTCAGTTGTAACCCCCTCAATTCCCATCATTACTCCTCTCTTCAAAGGCCACAGCTGTGTTTCCAACGGCCCTGAAGCTCTTCACTCTGTCCCTCTCACACAGGCGCGCACACAAGGTCACACAAGGTCACACAGCAAATAAAGCGAAAGCTAAGATGTGATTGTCAAACACCCATGCTCTCGCCACTGTACCACACAGCAACATTTCAGAGTAGCCAAAAAGGAGTCAAAATGACCATCATACTTAAAAATAATTCTTGATGAGAAAAACATATTTAGAAATCATTGTCCTGTACTGCTGAGATAGCCCTTCAAAGTTTCTTAGTAAACTTGGGAACCGGATAAACACATTTGGTAAATAAAATATATGCTGCCAAAATGAATGTGATACAGAAATGTCCTACACCGTCACAACATTTTGCAAAACTATGATCATGAATAAAGTGGCTATTAGCAGGTAAGTTGTTGCCAAATTCCTGGTCCTTCCTGAGATGGAATGTGAGTCCTTAGTATACCGTCTCCCAAAGAGTGACACTGTTAGGATAGGCTCGGATAATCCATTCTTGTTTACCAAATGGCCATCTTTTAGTACCTCAAATTTTCCAGGTGACAGTTGAATTTTAGTAAGTAACACTTCAGGAAAAACATACTCTGTTCCAAATGTGCCACTTAGGGAAAAGATATCGAATCTTGTCACAGCTGTTTCCACTGGCTGTCCACAAGTTGTCCAATTAGTTGTTTTGCATTTCAGCATCGTGCATACCTGCCAGTACTCACGTCTCCTTCGGCCGTGAAGTCCTGTAAAAGCTCCCAGCACATATACTTCATCATCTTCTTTTCTTAACATTCTATAGCTTAAATGACAGCAGAGGTCTTCTTGACAGACTGTCAGGTTTCCTGATTTTTCAGAAAGTTCTGTGAAGCTGAACATATCCCGGGAAATAAATCCACTGAAGGTATTTTTCTGGACTGGGAATGGTTTGATGATTGTGGCGCAGCCATGCCAATTCACAGCTGCTGGGTAGGCAGGAGAGCTTCGAGGATGCGAATCCACTTCTGAAAGGACGATCTTTCTCAGCCCTGTTTCCATATCATAATGGTGTACTTTGGGAGCGTGTGGTGCGTAAATACCACTGCCTGTCATATTTAGGCGGACATGATGTATATTGGCCACAAGAACATTAACTCCCATTCCCATTGCCCAAGCGAAGTGGAATTCAATAGCTGTCAAAAGAGGCAAAACATTCATCCAAGCTGTGGGAAACAGGATGGTGTCCACATGGAATTCTTTCACTAGGGTCACAGCAGGATCATGGAAGAGTATATCGAAGCATGTGAATATGCCAAACCTTCCAAAGGGGGTGTTGAAAGTCACCAGCTCCGGCTTTTCAGGGACATCAAACTGAGGCTCAGAGTAGAGGTGATACTTATGATACCGTGCCACCAGTTTTCCCTCTTTATTATACACCACATTGGTATTGTATTGATACTAGCCATTAGCAGGACATGTGGGGTCACGGGAATTACATGGCTTTTTGTCCCCAATATTTGCCAAGATGTAGATAGAGTTGCTCTTGGCCAGGCAGCTGAGTCTTGCTTGTATTGGTGTGTGACCAAATCTGTGGGGGTTCGCACACAGAATCCAGGTCACCTGAGGGTCTGGGATGTCCTCCAGATAAGGGAAAATTGTTTCCCTTGTAAATTTCCATCCATAAAGTGCATCTTCCGGAGTCACAATGATTTGAGCATCCTGCTCAGCTGCCTGCTTAATCGCTCTCTCTAGAATATCGAGATTCTTGTTCATAAGGAGTAAGGCATAATCCTGAGAAACAGGCGTTTCTGTTTCATTTGGCAATATGACCACATGTTCATATACTGCAGCTATAAATGTTTCCAGGGCACTGACATGCAGAGTAATTAGGGCAAACAGTGCCACAGAGGTTTGAAAGGAGGAAGCGCTCATGGCCGAGGTCAAGAGATTTCTGGGCACCAGCTCTGGGATCACGTCCAGCAGGACATGGCAGACGCACATCAACCATGCGATGGAGACACAGCAGAGACAACAAGACACTCGGGATGGTGAGGAGCAGCTTCAGGCTCCACCACAGTCTGAAGGACTTCTGGTCTGGCTGGTGTTTATCTCTCTGGGGGTCTGGAGAGGGGATCATTCTGACATTTTAAGTCTGTCATCCGAGAAACTGGGTTACTCGTCCATTGCTTTGGGGAATGTGAAATGGCACAGCCACTCTGGAAAACAAGTTGGGCAGTTTCTGAAGAAACTGATCCTTGCCCCACTTCCTCCTGGGCGGAGCAGGAAAGCAGGCAAGCGGGGCAGGATCCCAGCACCTCCTACATCTTCTTGTTCCCTCTTTAGACTCCAGACTTGTCGGCCACGGTCTCATCTTTGACCATGTCAAGCCCTGTTGTTGGCTCTCCCCTCAGAATGGCTGCCTCACTCTCCCGTTTCAGATCTCAGTTCAAAGTTCGCAAGGAATTTTGAAGAGAGCGAAACGAGTGGAAGTCTGATGGCGCAAGGTCAGGCGAGTATGGTGGGCGTGGCAACACATCCCATCCAAGCTTCAATAATTTTTGACAGGTGATCAAACTTATGTGTGGTCTCACGTTGTAGTGATGGAACACAACTCCTTTGCAATTAACGAGCTCTGGACGTTTCTGGACGATGGATTCATTCAAACTGTCCAGTTGCCAACAGTACACATTTGAATTGATTGGTTGGTTCCTTGGCAGGAGTTCGAAAAACATGACACCTTTAAAATCCCACCACACTGAGAGCATAACCTTCCTCTGATGAATGTCTGCTTTCGATGTTGTTTGAGGCAAATCATCATGTCGGGACCAAGACCATTTGCGTGCCACATTGTTGTAAACAATCCACTTCTGGTCACCAGTTATCAGTGGCTTCAAAAAAGGATCATTTTCCTCATGTTTAATGAGCATATTGCAGATGTTTATACACGCCATCAAATGAACTTCTTTGAGTTCGTGTGGACCTCAAATATCGAGCTTACTTACATATCCCAGCTTCTTCAGGTGGTCGTGAACACTTGAATGATGGCTGTTCAATGTTTCTGCAATCTCTTGTATCATGTAATGTGGGTTTGACTTGATCAATGCCTTTATTTTGTCGTCATCAACCTCGGTGGGCCTCCCTGACTGAGGAGCATCGTTGAGATCAAAATCACCTGCACGGAATTTCGTGAACCATCGTTGGCACTGACGTTCTTGTAGAGCATTGTCACCGTAAACTTTATGCAACTTTTCACAAGCTTGACGTGCGTTCTTCCCTTTATGGAAGTAAAACAGTAAAATATGGCAAAAATGCACACTTTGGTCTTCCATCTTCAACTTGTTGTAAAATCTCCAAAACTCAACCAAATCACTCAATTTTTTTTAGAATGAAGCTAGAACTGTCAGCTGTCAAATGACATAGCAAGAACATAGATGCGAATGACTCTAGTACTTCAAAAAATGAACTAGTGCCATCTGTCACAAACATGCATCATGACTTTTCCGACAACCCAATATGTGTCTTTTGTATAAGGATTATTTTACACTGATTATTTTTAAGAAACAAAAGACTTAGAAAAGATTTGAAAACTGAGTGGAAGTTACCCTTTTATAAGAAAGTTACATTTATAAGGGAACGCTCCATTGTAAGGTGTCTTCTTCTTTGTACCAGAAAGAGGGGGATGAATAAATGTCTAGAAACTCTCATCAAGGGAGAAGATAGGGACTTAAATCTGCATAACAGCCTGACCCTTGTTTACTGAGCTTTCCCTGGTCACCTCCATAACTGACTCCACGCGCCCCTCCAACATCTTCTTTGTCTTTAGCTGGAGATGGTCTGGAAGGTGGTGGCTTGGGCCATTTGGGGGAGTTACTCGGTTTTCCTGGGTCTCTCCCATGTATATAGGAGGGATACATGTTACTAAATTTCTGTTTGCTTTTCTCCTGTTAGTTTTTATTTTTTATTACAGGAAGGTCTCAGCCAAGGGCCTAGAAGAGTAGAGGGAAAACTGTTTTTCCTCCTCTACAGAAACAACCTACCCTCTTGTACCTGACTGTCTCTTGAGGGAAGGCAGGCTTTAAACAAATCTATAGGAGAATAAGTCTTTAATTATAATTGTGATATGTTCAGGGGGCTATGGGAGTATCAAAGAATAAGGACAAAGAGACTTGTGAGAGTATAAAATGGGGTCCAATGACAAACTGGGGAGCTAGGGAAGTCCTACTGAGCAAATCTGGTAAATCTTTTCCCCAAATTTGTACCTGTGGTCACACAGCACAAAGACAGTAGGCCAAGGACTAGGAGAAACGCAGTGGGGGTGTGGTTTCCCAGATGGACAGGGCAGTTGGCTGAGTGGGGCGCTGTGTCAATGATGTCATCATCTGCTTGGTATGAATCTACACTTTTACTTGATTGAAATTTGGATTGGGCTAAAGCTGAAAGGACTCATTCCGTTTTGTTTTCTCCATAAACCATCTAGTTCCATGCCTAAGTGTCACTTTTGCTGCTGTTTTTTCTTACTTGTACCTTCTATTTTGTTTCAACAAAAAGTACTAGTTATATGCACATCTACGCTCTGTTAAGGTCAGTGCCAGACATTGGCACTCACCACCATTGCCTCTAGAACTGAGGTTCTGCAACCCAAAGATGCTGTACATGATGAGGTGCGATATGCAGAAACAGCACGAGAATCCAGAGTTGGTAAGATGCTGCCTGTGGGGAGACCCTTTCTGTGCTGGTGTCTTTGGAGTTTGGGTGGATTTCTTGAATGGAGCAAGGAAGAATTCAAGACCATGTAACAGCAACATGTCTGAACCACTCTCTCCCTAGGCTACCAAACCCCTCCCAGCGCCTCCCTTCTACCACATCTGTTTTATTTATGGATGAGGAGATGTGGGATTCTTGCAGTCTGTAAAGTGGAATCATACTTGTATTCTCCGGGTCAGTGGTAAGGAAGTAAGCTCTATACTCATCATTAATCTGAGTGGCACCATTTGACTTGTATTTACATTTGAATATGGGTTTTTTAATAAGCCAAATGTAATGATGCCCTGCCATTTTGCCCATACGACTACTTCTTATATTAACAGAAATAATAGGTGAACCATTTTGAAAAACAGATCATTCTATTGTGACTCACACTGACCTTGAACAAAGTAATTGGATTTCCATTTTTTCTTGGGTTTGCCAAACATCAAGATTTTTCACTGGTCTGGTGGGCATCCTACCTTATTGCAACATAGGCTTTCCACGTGGGGCATCTAGGCTCTGATGGGAGTGCAAATTGAACTTGTTGAGCTGCTTTTTTTTTTTAGAGGGCAGCGTCACTGGCCCTCACATGTGGGATCCGAACCGGGGCCCTCTGGCATCTCAAGCCAGTTCTTAACCAACGCGCCACTCTGCCGGCCCAAGCTGCTTTTTGTCATGCAGCTTTTGGTGTTTAATCTGAACAGGGAACACTTTCCATCCTTGTAGCTTCTGCTTCCTCTGAGAATACCAGCGAAGATCTGCGGGGGTCCCAGTTGGCACTGCTTGGTTATATAGTTCGTTTTTAAACCTTAATGTTCACTTTTAAACTTCCCATCTTTTTCTTGAACAGGAAATTGTTTTGAAAATAGATACATTGCTTTGATTTGTTTTCTCAGGGGGGAGACTATGCTTTCAGTTAATATGCTGGGAGTATTTGGTAGAGGAAGATAAAAGCCTAGAACCTGGGGGTTGGGGCCAGCCTTGCAGAAATCTAAATTTTTCCACACTGAATCACCCTCTCTAGGGGATTCTCTGAACGAGAGAAACCTCACCACATGTCACAGGCCAGGAGAAGGACAGTACTTGTTATAATGGTCACTTCTGTAGAGAACTGAATGGCAAGAGATCGATATTCCGTTAATTTAGATTAGCTACATTTCTGGAGGAGCAATTTCTGAATGTATTTGCACAAGTATATATTGTTTTAGTGTCAACCTTGAGAAGGATGAAGATTCAGAAGGAATTTTCAACCCAGACTGGGATTTCTTTGTTGCCACTATTGATTTATATCAGGAAGATTTCTAATAAGATGAATGTGTTTCATGGTTTTTGAAACACCTTTGCTTTTCTGAATATCACGATTCTATGGTTTTATACCATAAGCCAGATGTTTTTCTTCTGTTTTCATTATCTTGTCTTTATTGCAACCTTCCTAAGCATGACTCAACTTGGGTTGAAGGGAGTTCTATTTTAACCTTTTTAAGAATAACAAAGTAAAGCACATTATTACACATTCTTTAGCGTTCAAAGGGCCAACTATCCAAAGCGGAGGGGTGGCAAACTATGGTCACAGGCTAAATCCCATCTGTTTTTGTAAAAAAGTTTTGCTGGCATGCATTCCTTTACATATTGTCTATGGCTGCTTTCCTGCTACAACAGCAGAGTTGAGCAGTTGCCAGGGAGACCCACAAAGACTAAAACATTTACTATCTGGCACTTTACAGAAAAAAAAAAATTTGTTGACTGCTGATGTAAAAGATACGATGCAAGAGAAATTCTTTACAAGTCTCCAGTGGAATCTAAGTTTTAAACATCTTTTTTTCTATATCATGAAGATATTCTCTTTCAAAGGTTTTAAAAGAATTCATGACATGAGGTTCCACATTGAAAGATTACAGAAAAATCTCCCTTCGACCTCTGTCCTCAGCCACCTTGTTCCCTTCCCTGGAGGTCATACTAAGAAATGTTCCGGGTTCTTCCAGAGATATATCCTGCAAAGATGATTGTTTTACTCTAATATTTAAGCAGCATTTTTATTTCAGATGAGATTATATTTCTCTATTGAGTGAAAAAGAATAATTATCAGATACTGAGGAAACGTGTACAGGGGAAAGGCCCATACTTAGTTCGGCTGCTCACAGATACTGTGCACACGCTGTGGGCCCAACCCTGAGTCGATGCAGCAGAGAATATGGAAGACCTGTAGGATGTGGTCCAGCTGGCGGAGGGCCCAATACAGTGCCTGAACCGAATCCTGATGGATGGCTAAGAGATGAGTAGATGCGTCTTTGTATTATAAACACTGGTAAGATCGATCATTGGCTAACCCAAACATTTCACAAGGATGC